GCTGGCCCCCCACCCACTCGGCCCTTGCCCAGGTAGGCAGGCGCTGCCCCCAAACAGCCGTACCCAGCGTGGGCTCGCCGGCCTCCAGGCTGTCGGAGGTCCCGGTCAGGAGCCCGTCCGGGGGCGGTGGCACAGGAACACTCATGTCCCCGCTGTGAGTGCCGCGTAAGGTGATATGAGTGTAGGGAAGTCAGACGCCAGAAGCAGGACCCTAACCGGTTCCAGCTCCCGGCCGGTCAAAAGCCGCAGTGCACACGGAAGTGACGAAAGCGGAAGGCATCGCTCACTACAGCCAATCAGGAAAGCCCGCCTCCCCACCCACCCCACCCCCGTCAGCGCGGTGGGCGCAGACGTGCGCGTGCGTGTTCAAGTTTCTCAGAGGGTGGGCTGCGGTAACCGGAAGGACGGTCCCAGGACCCGGTGTAGCCCTAGCCGGGTGGACGTTTTAAGCAAAAGCCTTAAGAACGTGAACCGCCAAACTCTTCAGTCCTGTGAGCTTAAGGGTTGCTTAGGATCTCCTCCAGTTGCTTGCAGATGAGACTTTGGCTTTGTTGGAGCATCGTTTGAGCAAATTAAGCCAAATCACCAAAAGCACCTGCTGAGATCCTGTGGGATGACATCATGAGTTCTGGCGCAAAGCACGTAGATGAGCGGACAGACAGCTCCACAGCGAATGTAATGACCCACTACCGTTTGGTTACCTCTGGTAACCTCTAAATGTTGCTCTGCAAACTACCTGTTCAGTTTTCCATGCTGTAGCCAAAGCCGCCGCTGCTGCTGCTAATAATAGTAATAATAATAATAATAATAATAACGTCACGCCTCGGGAATGCACTGGCTCCCGATTGCCGTCATCAGTATATTGAAGTTGTTTCTTTTTAGCCACTTTACAATTCAAGCACTTCCTTACTCTCTTAAGGTAGGATGTCCACAGCTAATCCCCGAGACCTCTAACAACATTAGGGTGCATGGCAACAAATAAAGCTCAGTAGTTAACCCTACCTTAAAATAGGAAGGTTACTCCAAGGGTCCAATGTAAGTGTCTTTAAAACGGAAAGAGGGGGTGTGTCAAAAAAAAAGGATTTAACTATAAAGGATGATTAAACAGATATAATACTGGTGGATTTGAAGACAGAGGAAGGAGTCCAGTCTGAATGGTGGGTGACCTCCAGAAAAAGGTAAGGAAACCGATTCCTCCCTGTAGTAGTGGAACTCGACCCTGCGAATTACCTGGATTTTCATCCCCTGTGAGGCTGCAGAACTATAAAACTTAAGTAATTGTAAGTCACCCAGACTTCTGTTTCTAGCCCTACCTGGCCCCCCTCTTTAGAAAAAAAGCTCAGGGCACAAAATCCCTCCAGTCCCAGGCCAATCCCTGGAAACCTCCACCACAATCCCCAAGAAACCCTATGTAAAGCTGGCCTCCTGTTCAGTTCCTTGCTGCCTCTCACCAGAGCAGAGGCAGCCATTCTTGTGTCTCTCCCGATAAGTCTCTTGTGTGAGGTTTGTTGTGCGGTGTGACTGTTAGCGTTCAAACATACCTGCCCCTCAACTTGGAGACCTAGCAAAGTGCCTCACCCCTGCGAGCATGCCCAATATGCAGGCAGTAGCCACGGCCTTAAGAAGGCGGAACCCTGTCTACTTTCTCCTCTCTTCTTCCTCTTCTTTGCCCCCTTCTCATGCTTTCCTCTGCCTCTCTCTGTATCTCAGTGTGAGTTCTCTCTCTCTCTCTCTCTCTCTCTCTCTCTCTCTCTCTCTCTCTCTCTTATCCCATCGCTGCTCTGTGCTCCCTTTCTCTCTCCCCTCTCTTTCTTCCCTTCCCCCAATAAAACTCCCCACATGCGCTCTCTCTGCATGGTCTGTCTCTCACCCTCCTTGGGGCTTCTTGGTCCCCACCCACCAAGGTTCCACTTTACAACAGTGACTCTGTGGTGTTCCTAGGCTCCCAAGGGCCAGGATACATTTCCTCTTAGAACTGTCACATTTCCATTGGGGAAACCCTCCCTCTCAGAGCTGTAACCCTTACAGTAATGATTAGTGTTGTCTTACCGATTGGAAAGCCCTGTGCCTCTCTTTGATCACCTTATGCATTTTGGGTATTCTAGAACAGTCCTTCATATGTACAGTGTGCTTGTCACTGCTCTGAACTGGAATATCATCTTTAAAGGCCTGTTCATCTTTCAAAGTGCTCTAGAACAATATCTTTACTTATATTGTTTTGTTTTGTGAGTTAATGTGTCATGCAGCCTAGGCTGGCCTCAGACTCAATATGTAATTAAGGCTGACCTTGAACTCCTGATCCTCCTGCCTCTCCCGGCCAGGGTAGTTTTCTGTTTACTGACCACACTCAGACATACCTTTACTTTAGAGGCTGTTCATTATCTCACTTCCCCCTTTCATTCAGAAGTTACAGTAATAACATTTCATAACTACAAACATCCTACTACTACTTAGCACTTGGTTCCTCCTTGCATTAGCCAAGTAAAAACTCTTATTCACAGAGAACCAAAATAATCCTCACTAAGTTGGCTAATTAGTGAACTATTGATGCCCTACCCCTAATTCCGAATATATATATAATTTCCAAAATCTCAGCTGTGTGACATGGCACCTTATAAAACACAGGAAAAAGCTTGGCAGCAGGGCATTCTGTATCTTTTCTGGTTATCATTGCAAGGTGTGAACTGCTCTGCTCACCACACACTCCCTGCTGTGATGCACCAAAACTCCTGAACCCGTGATTGACCGTGGTAGACCAAAGCCTCTGAAAATGTGAGCCAAAGTAAACCCTTCCTCCTTTCCGTGGCTTTTCTCAGTTATTTTGCCAAAGCCATGAAGAACTAATGAACACTTCTGGTCTCTTTATTTAGTCTCCATAGTCTTGCCTTTTTAGAATTCCATATGGTTGGAATGATACAATATATAGTCTTTTCAGACTGATTAGCTCCACATAGCATATATATTTAGGTTTCCATCAAGTCTTTTTCACAACTTGGTAACTCATCTTTTAGTTCTGATTTAATTTTAATTAATGAATGTGCATATATAATAAATATATAATTATATACATAAATATATAATATATACGATGCATTTATATATAATATATAATTTATATATAATATATAATATATATAATATATAATATAAATATATAAGCCTACTGAAGAGCACAGATCTTGTTGCTTCCAAGTTCTGACAATGATGAAAGAATATGCTATTAAAGCCCACATAGAGGTTTTTGTGTGGACCTGTTTTCAAATACAGTGCATAAATACAAAGGAATGGGATTTCTGGATCTTAGGATAAGATGTGCAATTTTACTAAAAAATGACAAACTCTCTTCTAAAATGATGCTGCATTTGCATCATCATTAGCAGTAAGGACCCCCATTGTTTTTTACAATTTTTTTGTTATTGTATGTGTGTGGGTGTTCTGCTCGAATTTGTGCCTGAGAACCATGTGCATGCAGTGGCCACAGAGGCAAGAAGAGGGCATCAAATCCCCAGGACTGGAACTAGAAGTTTGTGAGGTGCCACATGGATGCTGAGAATTAAACCTGGGTCCTCTGGAAAAGCAGCCAGTGCAGGTAACCACTAAGCCATCTCTCCAGCCCCAAGATCCCTGGACTGTGTCCATTGCAATGGATGTGCAAGTATGGTGTATTTTCTTAATTTGTAGCTCTTTGATTGGAACATGTTCATTTGCTTATTTGCCATCAATCTGTGCTCTTTGATGAAGGGTCATTTTAGAACTTTATTCCTGTTTTTAGTCAGGTTGTGTCCTTTTTTGTTGTTGTTGTGTATGGTTTGTTTGTTGAGACGGGGTTTCTCTGTGTAGCTCTTGCTGTCCTGGAACTCATTCTGTAAACTAGGCTGGCCTCAAAATCAGAGATCCACCTGTGTCTGCCTCCTGAGTGCTGGCATTAAAGGCATGTTCCACCACTGCCCTGCCAGGTTGTGCTCGTGTTGTTGATGTTTTTTTAAGTGCTTTCTATATTTTGCACAATAATCCTTTATCTGGCATGTGTTTTCAATTACTTTTGGCTAATTCCTTCCTCCTTCCCCTTATGTAATTTTGAGAGGAAAGTTTCAAGGGATCCTAGGATTGTACCTTCCTAAAAACAGGGAGGATTCTCAAATCTGCCACAAAAGTTTGGGCATTATATTTAGGGAAAACGTTCTGAAGTATGCAGCAGTGGAAACAACAAGGGACTTGATATCAAAGACCTACTTCAAGCCTGGCTTAAATAGTCTTGGTTATATTAAAATTTGAGGAGGGGTTGAAAACAGAAAAGTCCAAACTTACCTGCACAAAACTTGGAATTTGTTGATCCATTGTACTTGATGTGGCTTCAGGGCTTTGAGTCTATGCCCTTCCTTGCAAAAAATCAGGAGTCACTGCCTGTCTTCCTCTGCTGTTCTCTAGTCTGCCTTTCATTCTGTGGGCCTTGCTGAAGGAGCTCTCACAGTAAGGCAGGGAAATATCCCCACATTTTCATGTCCTTGCAGCTTCCAAGAAAACCAACTCATTCCTAATGGTCAACTACATTTAAAAAATTACTCAAACTGGATTCAATACTTAACTCTATACCAATGCTTATCTCCATGCAAATCCAGTGAGTGCTTATCTCTGTACCAATCCAATGCTTATCTCTATACCAACCAGTAGGATATAAAGACACTAACAGGCTAATGTGGAGCCACATAACAGGGAGAGGTTGAAATCCTTCATTGACAGTTCTTCCAGGAGTTCATGAAAAAAAAAGTTGCACTGCAGGTGGGGAGTCATTGTTATTTATTCCTTAAAGGAATGTCTGGATCCTAATATCAAAAGGAAAGAATTGCTTTGAACAAACTAATAGACTTCCATTTTCTCAGTTGTGAGATCTTAGTCAGGTCACCTAGTCTTTCTAAGTTCCTCCCCCAATTTTAAAGATTTTAGTTATTAATGTTTAATTATGAGGGAACATATTTACATGAGTACTGGCATCCAGGGGGCCAAGGTGTTACACTCCCCTGGAGCTGGAGCTTTAGGCAATCTTAAGCCCCTAGAAGTAAATTCTGGGAACTGCATTCAAGTCCTCAAGAAGAAACACTATTAACTACAGAGCCATTTAAAATCTCCAAGCCACTGAGCCCTATTAAAAATCAGCAAATGACCTTCCCTAGGCTTCCTATTCTGGACCACAATTCTGGCCACTTTACCAGAGGACAGACTCGTCCTAGGGATCCCAGGTAAGACATGGCCCACTGCCAGCT